CAGTGCCGGGGCGGTGGTGTGGCGCGACTGGGGGGGACGGGCGCCGGGCCCGCCCCCGCCGCGCCGCTTCCGCCGCCCGGCTGCGCCCGCCGCGCCTGCGCACTGCCCGCACGAGCGCGTGGGGCCGCTCCCGGCAGCCGCGGGCCGGGGCGGAGCGGGGCCCCCAGACGGCGGGGGCGGGCCCGGCGCCGCTCCGCCCCAGTGCCGCCACAGCACCGCCCCGGCACTGTCCCGCAGGCGCCAGCACCTCCTCCGCCGGCACCGCCTCCGTCTCCTCCCCCTCCGTCGCCGCCAGGTTTCGGCACTGTCCGCCCCGTCCCGGCAGCCGCCACCACCAGCGGGGACTGAGGACGCGTCCAGAGCAGGGAGGGTGGATCTCCCGGCGGAGCAGCCGGAATTTCGGGCTCGCACAGGATAACCGAGTGGGTGTTTGAGTGCCCTGGCTTTCCGCCCCGAGTAGAACTGCCTGAAACTAAACCCGATCTGTAAAGCACAGAGACACCCTGGCAGCTGGCGGCTGTTGTGCTTCTGATCTCCAAATCTGCATTTCAGCAGTGAGACCGAAAAATTACCGTGGGAGCGCAAAAGCGTAACTGCTATAGATGGAAAATTATGGACCCTGTAGAAATTCCTTGTGACACTTCCTGTTCAATTACGATGGCTCGTCTTTCACCCTTTAATGGCACCGTTTTCCGGTTGCACAATTATCTATTGTCAAAAGCAAGTGGGATTCACAGCGCAACTTCTGTATTTAGCTTTAATTTTGCAGTGCCTGTTGCAGACTGTGAGGTGTTTATTGCCCCCGTTGTGCTAGAACCATTTGTTTGGAAAAACAAAAATATTACAGTTCCCTAGAAAAGCAAAAGTTACATTGGTACACTGTAGCTGCACCCTGAAAACAGGTGTGTTGAATCGGACCAGAGTTCTTGCTCCACAAATGCTGATTGCTATGGGGAGCGCTCTATGCTATTTCTCCTCGCTCCCCTCATTTTTTTCACAGAATCATAAAATCATTTAGGTTAGAAAAGACCTTTAAAATCATTGAGTCCAACCATAAACATAACAAAGCCAAGTCCACTAAACCACTTCCACAACAGCCACATCTGTACTTATAAGTATCTCCAGGAATGGTGACTCAACCACTTCCCTGGGCAGCCTGTTCCAGTGCTTGACAATCCTTTCTGTGAGGAAATGTTTCCTAAAATCCAATAACCTCCCCTGTCACAACTTGAGGGCATTTCCTTTCATTTGTTGTTCTCTGATTTATCCCGCATTTATTTCCAATTGCCCATCTATTTGGGAAGGAAGATAAGCATATTGGGAGGATGTCTCTTTTGGAAGGGAGTAGAAGTTTATTTAAGGATAAGCATCTGGATGAAGATTCAGCATTTATAATAGTCAGAAAAGAAGAACTGTAAACCAGACAAGCATGAATGCTTTCCAGCTCTGGGGAGCTGTAGTCCAGAAACACCCTGTACTAGAGACACTATCATTAAGTTTAACAATACGCAATGGATTAGTCTTCAGTAAATTTGTCCAGTCACAGTTTGAACCTATGAGGGGTATGACTGTTCACCTCTCCAAAGCCATGAGTATGCACACAAAATTAACACTTCAAGGAAGAAGAAAACACAACCTTCATTTATATGTTTATACAAATAATTAAAACATTCACAACAGCTTAGCCAACAACTTTTTTTGTTTCTTTCTACTTGCAAAACTAACTAACTTCTTCAGTGAAACCTCAGGTGCCCTTTTTTCATGCACTGGATCCCATTCCTCTTTTTGTTTTTATTTATTAACAATGGGATACTGGAGGAATGCTCAGGAAGTCTGTAGCTACTGAGAGAAGCATTACTAGTTATATGAAGACACCACATAGAGCCTATGAACACACGGGGACTTCTAACCCTCCCACAGTAATTACAGCTGTAATGGAGAGATGTAATACGATTCTCTTTCCATAGATTTTCATTGCAATACAAAGAAGACAACACTAATTATAATTTCAGATTAAATGCTATTCCAAACAACCCAAATATTTCTATTGGCGAAACTACTTTCAATCACTTGCACAAACAAGTGGTTACCCTTTACCATGTACCGAGGTTGATTGTTCATGGCAGAGAGCAAAGCATCAACTCCTGGCATCTCAGGCTTAATTTCAACATTCTTCTCAAAGATGAGGAGTGAAGGATGATATGCAAAAGAGTCCTGTTTCAGTACTAAATGAGCTTGGCAAGCAAAAGGTGAGATGCTGAAGTGATGATCTAAAGAAAAAAACCTCTGCAGGAGCAGTTTTCCTGCATATGAGATGAGCTGGATCTTGTAAGTCCATGGAAGAGAATATGTTAGTAGTCTGGATAAGACACTCAGGATGTCAAGCACCATCTTCTCATGTAACACCCTTAGAAACTTTACCAGATCTAGCAAAGTTTTCTGAGTAAAAAGTTGTGGGGTTTTTTGGTGTTTTCTTTTTTTTTTGGTTTGTTGGTTGGTTTTTTGGTTGATTTTTTGTTTGTTTGTTTGTTTTTTGTTGGTTTTTTTTTTTGCTACTCCTGTTGGTCTTTGCTGAGAGCTTTCTTAATCTCTTTAGTGTTTGGGGAGGAGAATATTGTTACTACTATGCCTGAATAGTACATTGTAAATCATATACATAATTTTACCTACATGAAATTCTAATCATGACTGCATTTTTTGTTTGGTGGCTTTTCTTTACTCTTATCTGAAGATGACTAATAAAACTTTATTAGTAGGAATCATTTTAAAATGGCACAGAAGTTGATGGCGTCTTTTGTATTTGAAGGCAGATGAAGATAAAACATCCTGAAAATGCACACATGCTTCACCTCGAACCAAACCAAGATTGTTGTAACAGTTTATCACTCCTCTGTCTGATGCTCAAGGTTGGCACATGAAGTTACTGAAGCAGCTTCAGCAAGAATTATCAGGCACTCAGTGACAACATCAGCATATGATTTTTTTCCTCCTGTGGTATTCCTTTCAGCATTGTTTTCTTTTTAATGATCGGTTGGTTGTAATCACTTCAGCTTTACTTCACTGCCTGCTGCACACATTTTCTTCTTGCCATCCTTGCTCTTCTTTTATTTCTCTTCCTCATCAGTTCTCCCTTTCATCACTTCAGAGTATGCTGTTAGCAAATGCAACCCACAGATTTAACAACAGTTTTATGGCCCATTGTAAAACTAGTCCACATTTCATTCCTTTTTCATTATTTGTGCTCTGACCATGTGTAAAAGGGGAGACAATCTTAGTGTCTCTCTGATGCCACATCCTGGATGGAACCTCTGAGAACCATTTTAATACACAATGAGGATAATTTAAGATGTTGACTGGATCTCAGCTAAATAAAGTAACAGTATTTTTCCTTTACCGATCTCATTGTTTTCTGTCCCATAACTTCCCTTCACATGAGGTCGTAAGAAATGTTACTATATTCAGTACCAGTATTTAATTTTTGGTGAGACCTCTACCACATCTGAATTTACTTGACTTGTTTTTTTGCAGAAGTCAAGTATTTTATCATAAGGAGGCCATCAGTGGAATTCTAAATATTCTTATTTTGTTATATTAGTTTTCAAAATCAATTATTTATAAACATAAAACATAAAAAGAGGCAGCAGAGGAAGTAAATTTCTCTTCTAGACTTGCATTTATTTTGCAGCACAACCTATGAAGACTGGAACAAAAATTACTTGTGCCACCTATTGAATGATTTATTTTTTTTTCACAAACAGTTGTTTGCTCAGCAGTTGTCTAAAGGGTGCTAGTAAACTAGATTTTTGTTCTACAGTACTTTTAATACTAGACCACAGTTACTTCAAATCTAGAGTACCCCACATAATTTTACTTCAAAATTATGAAAGACAGCAGAAGATGTTGTCAGAAATGTCTGGATCAAGGCCATTGTGCTAAAAATACATAGCATACATCAGAATCTGCTTACATTGTGCTGCTGTACATATTAGTATTGCTTTTGCATGCTGGAGGAAATATATCAAATGTGGTAAGTCATCATTTATTTCCTTGGTGTTTATTATTAGTATCTTTGTGTGGTCTAGAGGTCAGTCAAGAGTAGGGTCCCATTTTGCTAAGGAGTGTACAAACATAGGACATGCTGTGCATTGTGCAGTGGAAAACAGTCCAAATATAGCTCGGTTAACTGCAAGTGGAATATGCCTGGAGACAGTGGCAGTGTAGCTGCATCCTTGTAGCTTGCACCTCCAAACTAATTTTTTAGGGCATATTAGTTTAAGCACCATGCTCCACCAGCTGCTTCTGGGATTCACGTTAGTTTCTTCAAACTGCTGCAGGGCCCTTCCAGTAAGTCACTGCTTTTTCCATGCTTTGTCCCCTGACGACCTATTTGTAGGCAATTTGTAAGCTCTTTGCCTAAATCTAAACAGAATAACTGGTTCCCCAGGAGGAGAAAGGGATTTGTGTACAAACAAGTTTTAAGAAGTGCCTACAAAGTTTGTTACCTCAGTTAAAAGTAATTCATATTCAAATGTAATAGTAGTAATTTTTTAGTCATCCAAATCTGGACTGTCTCAATTCATTTATGTTCATCTGTCTGTTCATATTAAATCATAAGTTGTAGTCACAGGCTCTGTAGTTTACCTGACAATAATAGCACTTCTGTCATATGCTACATGAATTGCTATTGCCTAATTTTGTAATTTTAGACATTTCTGGAAATGGTGCCCAAGATTGTTCATTTATTAAAGTACAATGCTGCTCTTCCAAGGACAGTCAAACAGAAGTAACTTCAATTTGGAATAAGCCAGGTGACAAAAGCGTGCCCTAATTCAGTCTACAATTACACTGTGTAACATATGGCTTACATAAGTACCTACAACATGGTAACACCACTGGTATTAAAACTGCTTTTGTTCTTTCCTTACTGTTAACTAAAACTGCTTAACTCTTACTGTGGTGATGGGGGCCCAGACGGCAGGCAAAAATCAACAAGTATGGTGATATATTCATTCCTCTGCTTGCTTCCTTAATAACAGCCCCAGAAGTGGCTTAAGAACTATTATATTATCATTATTTTCCTACAAGATTTCCAGTGCACTTGATAAACATCAGTGGTTATCTAAAGTGGTTGAACAGTATCAGAGGATAGAAGAGAATCTAAGTCTGTAGTCACACTGCATCTCAGAAGAAAATTTAGTCTTTCACTCCAATCATTAGAGACCTAAGGCTGCTCTTAGCAGCCATTCTCTTACTTTTGGATTTATCTTCTCAGAATTAAAGAACAGCATCTTCTTGTTGATACCTGGAAGAAACTTCTATCACTGAAATTCCTGTTTGATTTTTACACATTACTGTATAAAACATAATAAACCCGTAGGAAAAGCCTGAGTCTGTAAAAAAAATGTATTTATATGTGAAGATATTTGTATAAAGCTTTCAAATATTTTTTTACTAATTATCCAATCACAGAAAGAACACAACTGTTCAGCTGATTCATGGATAGAATTAAGAACTAAACTATTATTATTATATTAATTTTAGAGCAAACCCAGAGACCAAAGGGAAGAGAAAGGCAAAACCCCTCAATATGCCAAAAGAAAGAAAAAGCCAAGACAAAAGACTTCATGATTGCAAAGAAAACAAAAAAATTTCTTCAATACTAATAGAACATTTCATAAGCAGTTTTCTAAACCTAAGAGGCTAATTAGTTAGTGTGGAAGGAGCTATTAAAAAGCCTACAGGGTTTTTTTTTGTGGATTTTTTCATTTTTGAAATTAAATTTATTTTTCCTTACTCACAATTTTTGAAGCAATTATCTTTTCAAGCTCCATACTGACACTAGTAATATTCTTGATTTTTAATTAGGTTAAATTGGAACCTCCTTTATCTGGCCTGCACATGCACATTATGTCCCCACTGGTCATTAAGGCAGAAACAGCACAAAGTCTGAAGTAGTGAACTAATTCCAAAGTACAGCAGTTGGGAGTTTACTGGAGTTACTAAAGTTTGAAGCAGCAGAATGAACTGTACTTTTATAGCAGTTATTATGTTCTGCATGTCGACCGGTCTGGAGGAAAAGGCAACCAATGTAATGTGTTAATATTTTGCCCAAATAGATTTTTTAATCTTCTTGAATGCAGCTAATCTTTAATCACATCTATTTGTACTGTGTACCCATAACCTCCAAGGGGAAGACTGAGTCAGAGAGAAGGATTCCAGTCACATGAGTCCTCACCAAAGAAAGCTGGTAGAGTGAGTCCAGAGAAGGAGGATGAAGATGATCAGAGGGCTGAAGCAACTCTCCTATGAAGACAGGATGAGAGAGTTGAGGTTGTTTAGTCTGGAGAAGAGAAAGCTCAAAGGTGACCTTAAAGCAGCCTTCCAGTACCCAAAGGGGGCTAATAAAAAAGAGGGAGAGGGCCTTTTTACACAGGTTGATATTGATAGGACAAGTGGAAGTGGATTTAAACTGAAAAGAGGAAGGTTTAGATTAGATACTAGTAAAAAATTCTTTACTGTGAGGGTGATGAGACACTTGAACACGTTTCCCAGAGAAATTTTGGATGTCCCATCCTTGGAAGTGTTTAAGGCCAGGTTGGGTGGGGCTCTGAGCAACCTGGTCTAGTGTAAGGTATCCCTGTCCATGGCTGGAGGGTTAGAACTAGATAATCTTTCAGGTTCCTTCCAACCCAGCCCATTCTATGGTTCTATGATAATTCAGGAACTTAAGCCAGTCTCACAGAATCACAGAATATACTGAGTTAGAGGGTACTCACAAGAATCATCAAGTGCAACTCTTAAGTGAATGGCCCATACAAGGATGGAACCTGTAACCTTGGTGTTATTAGCACTGTGCTCTAACCAACTCCTTCCTTAATGGATGGTAAAACTGATGCCAACAATTCTCCAGGACCAACAATGAATGCTTTGTTTTTCTTACATGATAGAAGTTAGAATATTGCTGTTTTTAAAATTCTTAACAGATTTGTTTGGCTTAGCAATACTTAATGCCATTTCATAGATGTGATTTACAATTTGGAGAAAACCATGGGGTCTAAACTCGTAGAGGTGATCATGAACACTCTGTAGGAAAACTAATAGCTTCAAAGGGAGGAACCCCTAGAGGAGCTGGATGTTCAGAGTGGGATTATATTACTTCAGTCTTACTCACCTTTCCATTGTTCCAACCAGTGGAAACTATCCTTTAAAGTCATAATTTGGCTCTTAATGCACGACTGAACTGGATTTGGCAAGAGGAACTCCAGTCTTAAATCCAAAAGCAGTAATGTCTCATAGGTAAAGGTTCATGAGAACTGTGAGTCAGATAGTCTAACTAACTATAGTAAAACCTTAACATAAGCCATAGAATAGTCAGGGTTACAAGAGAGGGCTTCTAAGAACTTCTCTCAAGCTGTTAATGCAGACACAGCAACTGACAGCTACTGGCTTGAGCAAAAGCATTCCAAGGCATACTTCACTTTTCTGCCTAAACTTTTCAACATGACAGTTCCTCTGTCAAAGGTCCAAATTTATCGTAGACACATACACACTTGTGTATATATATATATACACATATATATGTTAAAAAAAGACACTCAATAAGACTTTGTATATGACCTAACTCATAAAACTTGGCAATATGGTCATATGCTCAGCTATGAAAGCTACGACATGAATCATGTGGTAATATGTCAAGAGTGCCAGGGATTTGCAAAGCTCTGGAAGTCCCCAAGATGAACACAAACTTTTTAGTTCTGAAGTATGTGTAAAATATGCATGTAAATTAGAACTCAAAGCAAATTTAATTTTTTAGTTTGTTTCCATTTACAAAGGTATTTCATAGACCGTTCTAGTCTACTCCAACAAAACTGCCTTTATTTGAAATCTAATATACAAACTTTCCCTTATTTGTAGAAGCAAACCTGTATTAAACTGCACAAAAGACAGAATAAGTGCATTTCAAGACTTTGTGCATACCCCTGAATATGTACATTAGTAGACTCAAGTAATATAAATTAAAATAAAATTTCCTAGTTTAATAATTCAGGATTTTAATTGGACCTTGTGGCAGGGTGATATCCTGTAGTGAAGAAAGATGTCCTACATTTTTATTTTAGCATTTCTCAATCTTTTAATAAAATTGCAAGAAAATGTGAAAGGAAGATTAAGATTATGACATTCACATTCTGTCACCTATTCTTCAGAGAACATACCAGCAGTACATTTTACGTCTAGTCATTAGAGCTACAGGAGTAAATTAAAGCCTGAATGTCTCAATCCCATTTGCATCTTTCAGTGCATCTGCCGTGAGTGACAGTGGGAGATCCACAGCAGAAGAGACATCCTCATATTCCCTGTATGTATAGAGATCAGTGGGTTACAATTAGCATGATCACTTGGAGAAGCATTTCAATTTACCAAAAATACATGGGACTAGACTCAGTTGTTTTACATTTTAGTTCTTCACTATGCTGGGCCATTTGGAATTCATTTTTCCCTTTCAAGCTTTAGTCCTACTATGTTATACTGCTTATTTATTGAAATGAATTTTTCAATATATTCCTGTCAGCCTTGTAGAAGGCTTTGGCACATTCCAAGTGAGCAGTAGCACAATAAAACTGAAATATTTTCGTGGCAATATTCAGAGACTTTTGAGCTACAGGCTGCAGGAATTAGCATTGTTTCTCAAAGTGAATGAAGCTCCAGTAATATCAGATTTTTCTGAAATCACTCTTGCATCAAGCTTCA